CCTGGCTGGACTGCTGCAAACACCATCCAGACACACGCTCCAGTGTATCTGCGCTTTTTCAGCTTGGTCTTCTCTGAAAACAAACCCAAAACATCCCTAAATCCCCGTGTGGCGTGCTCAGTCCTCGGCTCAGAAAGAGGAGGGGAGAGGGATAGCACAAAGTACAGACAAGAACTATTTGATGCTTGGCTGGGGCATGTTGAGAAGCAGCTGTGATTAAGACAATATGTGAACTTTTTGAAGTGTGAGGATGAGGGAGACAAAAATATTGGCCTATTAATGAATTCCAAAAAGAAAAGGGAGATCTCACCAGAGATCCTAACCTCTTCCTCCTCTGATTAAACTTCCTGTCATGCTTCATCATTGGAGAGACCGTGGAGCTGCTGTCTGTCTCTGCAATATGTGCTATGCTATACATTCTGCATTTTAATTGATTGGCCCTCCATGTTATCTTTTTTTATACTTTTCTGTTCTCTTTCTGCCAAGTTGTCTTTTCTCTCCTCTATCATGACAGACAGCTAGGTTTCTTATGTAGACCAGGAGTGTGATAAATTAATCTTCCATTTGTTAACTGTGATAAATCGCCGAGGCCAGCTCCTCAGCCTGGTGCAGAACCGCACTGGTGAGATTTGTGTGCCTGACATGCACCAAAGTTTGCGTGCGCTGCATGGCACCAGGGGCCTGCTCTGTGTTCGAGCTGCACTGACTCCGGGTGCGCTGAGGCAGCGTTGAATGTGAGCCATGTGTTTCCCCTGCAGCCTTGTTGGCTACCAGCGCGATGGAAAACTCCACCGTCTGTGAAAACCTCCTGACCATGTAAATTCACAGACGACTTCTTATCTGATTACGCCCCAGTTCTGAGAAAGCAGGAGGAAGGAGCTGTAATATTTAGGCTTTGTGGTAAACACTTTGCAATATGTACTTTCTAGGTTCTGTCTTTGTTTAGTGGCATAACTTGCAGATGGAGATACAGCAGTCGTCTTTTTTTTCTTCTCCCCACTACCATGCAGGGTATCTGACAACTGATACACCTAACTTTCCAAACAGAAATACTCAGATATGCTCTTGTCAGTGATGGAAATACAGTCCTAAGTCTGTTATTCCAAGCCCCCCGAAAAAGTTAAATTAACAGGCATGTGAGTGAATTACTGCATATTAGCTATGGTAATTGGCTGTAGGCAAAAGTAAGACAAGCATGCAAGCACCTAACATTTGCCCCAGTTTAACAGTACATGTATCACCACCAGCAGTGGATTGCCTAGCACAGCGTGACTGTATTTTAATGTTTTTTTGTCATGGCAATCAAAAATTCCAGGAAAACCACTGCTTGTGGCAACACTTATTCATGTTCTTTGTTGACCAAATGTCCCTGAACTCAGCTGCTTACAGAGATTTTAGCTTGTTTAGACTCCAGCAGCTGCTTTTGTTCGGCTTGTGTTGGGTCTTTGCTTGCCTTTGGTTTTCCTATGCTGTGGGTATATTCCTTCTTTAGTTCCATAGATTTTAAAGCTAGAATGAATGAGGGATAAGATTCAGTCCAACTTCAGAACCAAAACGTTTCACTCAGACATGCCAATGGTAAGGCCAGAGACGTTAGGTTAGGAGAACCAACATGTTATTGGCACTTGAGCCCTGTGCAATGCATAAACTTGCCAGTTACATGAAATCTCTGTAGAACATCACAGAAGATGAGCTGCAGGAAAAGGCAAGGTGATCCTGCTTAGCTGACTTAGGGGAAAACTCTTTCTTCACCACCTCTGGCCCTTTGCAATGTCCTATCTCCAGACCTGCTGACCTCTGATGCTCTGGGGGGAAGGCAAATCTGGAAGAACTTTTGGGCCCAACAGCTGTTTGCACTTAGAAAGTTGCATCTTATTTGGAGGCTGAATTTGTCCCGTTACAGCTTCCCACTGCTGAATCTTGTTATGCCTTTGCAGCAAGTTTGAAAAAGCTCCCGTCGGTGTAAGAACCACTATGGTTCTTGCATACAGGCATCTGATGTGAAGTAACTGTAATTAGCTTTATAAATATATATTAATTGTACAGCCTTATATCTTTTTTTGCAGCTCGTGGTATTCTAGATGATAAAGTAGATGACCTAGCAGTCTGTTCTGACCTTAAAAAACCTAGGAATCTATGTTTGTGGCCCTCCACAGAGACAGACCATAGTTGCCAAAAGATCTTTCTGTTTCATTCAGCAAGGAACTGTTATAGAACTGAGACGGAATCAGTGATGTATCTGAATGCTAATATCACTTTATAATTAAGCAAAAATGAATAATTAGGGCAGCCTGATTTGCTGAAAGTCTTTGTGGTTTTGAATGCCTTCATTATCTCAAAATAATACCTAGCTTTGTAATGCCATCCTCAAATAATTATCTTCTGGATAGTAAAGCTGACAATGAACTAATCGGGCTTACAACTGCTAAGGTACTCTAATAGACAAAATATTTGACTTGAAATACAAAATGGAATGAATTGCAAGGTCCCCATGTCCAGAGAGACTAATGAGGTGCTCTGAAACATATTGCACAAAGCCTGAGCTGCTGAGGTGGTCTCAAAGTGTGCAGGTTCTCTGTCATTTTAAGAGAGATTAAGCACGAATGTCTAGTAATTTGTGTGCCTCAGCTTTTTGCGAAATGGGTGATGATTCCAGTCAGCTGGAGTCCCTGAAGTTTCTACCAGTGACTATTACAGTCTATTTAAAAATCATCACCTCTCTTGTTTTCCAGATTATTCAGGACAGAATATTTAAGCACATATCACGTAACAGCTTAATATGGAACAAACATCCTGGAGGGTTATTTGTACTGCCACAGTATTCCTCATATCTGGGAGATTTTCCTTACTACTATGCTAATCTCGGTGAGTGAATCCTTGCTATAATCTGGTGGTATTTGGAATTTCTAGTGGAAGTTTGGAATTTGATCTTTGAGTAGCGTGTGCCAAGTGACTTACCATTCATTTCTAGTTAATGATGCCTTTCATTTATCCTGTCTCGATCTTCCCTGCCCACTGTAGACTGGAATGCCTCTGACTCATCAACATGCATCATGTGCCTCTCGCTTGCAAAGATTGTTTAAAAAAAATCTATGTCCCTTCATACTTTTCAGTTGCCAGTAATTAATGCCTGAGTTGCTGACCCATTCACAGCCCAAGGGGACATAAGAGGAATAGCTTTTTGCTTTCTTTGTTTATTTGTGCTTGGCAAATTGGAAAAGTGGTAATTTACCCATGACACTTGTTATTGGAATGTATAGTTGGTATGGATTTATTCTCCATACTATGCGTCTTCATATGGATCCCACTAGAAGGAATGAATAGGGCTTAGGTTCCTGGCTTTTTCCTCAAGCGGAGCTTAAACGCTGAGTTCTGCAGGGGAATGTGCCTGCAGGCTGAAGTGATCCTGCGTACCAGACTGCTGCTACTTTTGGCTCAGCCTGTGCCATCCCACTTGTGTGGATCTGTACTGCTCACCTGCTAAAAATTCACAGTTACCGTGTTAAAAAGGGAGAAGAAGGTTTCTGTGGGAATTTTGATGAAAAATGACTATGACCCCACACAGATGAATTTAGATGAGGTTGAGAGCGAAGGGTAGACGCCAGTAAGATCTGTTATTTCAGGCAGAAAAGGAAATCATAGCGAGACAAAAATATCAGAATGGAAGGCAAGGACGCAAGCAGAATTATCAGCTCAGGAGGTAATTGAAGATGCATGTGGATGGGGATCGACCCAGAAAGACCAAAAATCTGACAGAGGCTGTAATGGAACTGAGGAAACTGAACAAGCTTCTGGAAGTTGTGGAGATAATCTGTATAAAACATCAAGCATCCAGAGCCAGGCAGCAAAACAGAGCCCGTGTCAAGAAAGACATTTGGTTGAACAAACTAGATGTCAATATTATCTCTGGGACAAACTGGATGAAAGAAAGAGATTGCAGGACATCTGTGGAAATAGTGAGTAAGAGAAGGCAGTAATTGTGTTGGAGTCAGGGATTTCAGAGGGTGTGGGAGTTAAAGGGAAGTGTGATCTCCTCTGAAGCATCTGGTATCCTAGTATCCGAGACAAAAGGAGATGGCCTAAAAAAACGTGGCAAGATTTGCATTAAGTGCAGATTATTTTTCCATCTCCAGGATCCTTTAATCTGTACTAGCTGGGGCTAACTGTTTTTAATCTGTACTAACTGTTTTTACTGAACACATATCTCTTCAATTCAGGTCTGAAGCCTCTTTCCACATTCACTGCCGTTATCCATGCAGTAACTCCCCTGGTTTCCCAGTCTCAGCCTGTGCTGAAACTCCTGGTTGCTGTAGCCAAGTCCCAGTACTGTGCACAGGTAAGCAGTGCTCTTTGACTGTCAGTCACAATGGAGACAAAACTACTATCCCAGGAGCAAAGGGCCTACTGACTTCAGATCTTCTCAGTCCTGTTTCAAACCGCTGTTTCAATTCTGGTGTTTCTTTTTTCTGAGATTTCTACTGTCTGTGACCTGCATGCATGGGAAACAAGAATTCTGAGTATAGTGGGAGTGGAATAGAGACAGTAATTAAACCCCTTTGTTTCATGAGGCAGGCAAAATAATTACTGCACTTTAAAGATCAGGATTGTGAGTGCTACAAACTGCAAAAGGATGTCTGTGCTTCAAGAGCCGCTACATGATCTTCCTTCCTCCTGCTGTGGCTCTTAGTCTCAGCAGTGCCAGGATTTTGGTTTCTCTAAAAGAAACCCTGGGGAGTTCAGTAGGAGCACCCTCTCACAGTGGAGTGTCACAAGTGGTTTAGAGCCAAAGTAAATCAGTGACATCCGTATGACCTGGTCAAGATAGAGACTTCCCGAGTTCCTGTCCAGCCTATGTTTGCCTGAGAGGACGTATGTCATAAATAGTCAGGATGGGTGAAATTACTGCAGGAAGTGTTATTTTTATACAGATTTGTATCGTTGTCGATTTTGAAATTCCTAACCTGAATTTAACATTTCTGTCTGTAGATCTGAGTCCTTAGGGTTTGGACTCCAGTGCTACAAAGGTCTCTGATCATAGTCCAATATTCTCTTTCAGATTATTGTTTTATGGAATTGTGATAAACCCCTCCCAGCCAAACACCGCTGGCCTGCCACTTCTGTGCCTGTCATAGTCATTGAAGGAGAGAGCAAGGTAGGTGGAGAGAGGCATGGTAAAAGATTGTGTCTATTCTCCAGTGGTACCAGAATTTATTTTTCCAGCTGCTTTGGTGAAAGCTTTGTAGTTCCCAACGGCGTGACAGCTCCTTTCTATTCCTTGGCTTTTTGTACCAGCTTGGTCACAGATTCATGTTTCATGCATGAGGCCTGTGCTCTCAGAAATCATCAACGTGGCAATTAATGTCATGAAACTCAGATTCGCAGGTGGGACCCGGTTTTGAAATGTGGCCCCGAGAGCAAGTAGTGCTGACCCCATCTTTGGAGATTTTCTGTCTTTCTGCAGGTGCATGAAAGTAGTGATGCAGCTGAATTCATTGAGTCTGAGCAGTCAGGTGCAAGACTTGGGGGTCAGCTGTGGACTCAAAAGCAGAGGAAGAAATAAGGATGAATGGTGTAAATGCGCCCTGAAAAAGTGCCTTCTGTCATGGCCTTGTAGGAAACTGATGCCAGTGATGGGGTCCCACCATCATAAAAAAGGAAGAGACAAGGGACACTTGGATGGGAACAAAACCACCATGTTGTCTCTTGCCGTGCAGCACCCTTGTTCCTTTGCACTTTCACAAAGTCAAAACACACACCACCCAGATGAGAAAAGAGGCTTTTTTAAACATCCACACTGAAGTGGATGATTCCTTTCCAAATGCAGACCTGAGAGAAGCAGTGCTTCTTGCTCTGTGTTTGCAAAGGAAACTTTTAGTTGCTTTGGCTGTACGATCCTGTTTTGGATTTATAGTCCTGTCTTTGGTCTTTTCCCCCAGTCACCTTAGCAAGGGGAAAGCAAGAGCCCTTGGAGGTTGCCAGCTAATGGCTTGTGCCTTAGCTAGCCATGTAAACAGTATCAGGAGAGTTGCTGCAGGGCCGAGAAAGGCTGTAGTGATTTCTGAGCCTTTTGAACGTTGTGGGCTTTTTTTCTTTCTTTTTGGAAAACTTGCAGAGGTGACATAGAAGGGAAAATCTCTGACCAGTTCTACAGTGTTTGTAGAAATTGGCCCCAGGCACTGTTTAGATTACAAATGAGTCTCCTGAGTACACAAAGGTGTGTTTATAGTGGACAGTCTCTTCCCTTTAATATCCCAACGTGTGCCAAATGGCTTCTCGCATGGAAAAGCTGTTTGTTTGGACAAAGCTTGCAGAGCCGGAGCAGTGCAATTCAAAGGTTGCACAAAGGAACTGCTTTTCCTCTTCAGACTAAACTGAAGTGTACTGGCAGGCACAGTTGCTCTGTGCAGGTGATCACAGAGGTCTGCCTTTTCCTGACCTTCACTCCTCCCCATGAAATCAAGATATATTATCACACCCATTTTACAACAGGGAGCTTTAGCTACAAAAACAAATACATGGGTAGTCCCAACTGTTGTACTATTTGACAATATTTTACGCGGTCTGTCAAAGAGCTGAGGTGAGAACATAGGTCCCCTCCCGACCGCTTCCTCTGCTTTGCCTTAGCATAAGCAAAGCAAAACCATCAACCCCTGCCAGATCACCTCTTCCTCACAACCACTGCCTCCCCGGCCCAAGCCCATTGTAGTGATGTGGGGATGCTCTCCAGATAGACACCGTGAAGCTCCTGATGATGGGGACAGATCTTTCTCTGAATCGAGGCATAGATTCCAAAGTCTTCCTTCCCAACAGGTTGCAAGGGGCACAGAACTGACCGTGTCCATTGTGAGGGATGTGTACAACTTCTCCATGTCCCTGTTTCCATACAGTGATTTCCTTTTGCTGGGCCTCATTTCTGTAGTGTTTTCTTGGCATAACAAATTGGGAAAGAAGTCTATTAACTAGCCAGGCTATTTTTCCTAGCAAATGAGGGAAACAAATAGTGTTGTGTCCTTGTTACTATTCATCAGTTCTCAAAAGGTGCTAATTAGTCTGCTAAAGAAACCATATGGATTCTCATTTCTTGCTGTTATCTTTTTGATCCCGCTTTCCCATCTATTTCCTATCACTTTGAGAACTGTCCTGCTGTAGTTTTTAAAACCTTATTCTGTGTATGGATTTTATATATATATATATAGTTGTGTCACTTAAGAATGTGACTTTATAAAATGCTACAATACCAATCTAATTCTTGATGCAGGTGAAGCTCAACTGATACGCATGTTCTTTAGCATATTCTCCTTTTCTGATGGAGAATGTTGCACCATTTGGCAGCAGCTCCCCGTGGATACAGCAGCAATGCACAGAGATGGAGCTGTACCAGTTGACAGGGGAACCATCCTGATAGCGTAACGTCCTTCACACACCGTCTGGACTGCTTGGCTTCCCAGCTGCATAACCTTATGAATGCTGCAAAGTCCTTCTCAGCGTTCATTATCTTTGATCCTCACACCCCGTAGGAGAGCAGAGGGACAGTCCTAGCTACCAGGGAAAACATCCTCCCTGAAGAAGCTGTAGGTACATCTGATTCTCAGTACAGACCATTGCAGTTTGTCACAAAAAGAAAGCAGCCTGCTCCAAAGAGGGAGGAAGGTCTGTTCAGAAATTACTTCTCAGGTAGAAGGTGTGGGCTGACTGCTGGGATGACGAAAATGACAGTCTTTCACTTGTGAGCTGAAGGGTCCTTCCCATCAGGCAGAGATATGCTGTGTGCCTCAGACAAGAGGAAATAAGAGTGAAGAATAAAATAGAGTTTTTCCGTTAGAAATGAATCCTTCAAGTGATTTTTTTTCCTCCCCTTCCTGCCTTGGATACCCACAGGTTATGAGCAGTCGCTTCCTACCCTACGACAACATAGTGACAGATGCAGTGCTAAGCCTGGATGAGGACACCGTGCTTTCGACCACTGAGGTAAGGGTCTCGGTCATTTTGGGAGTCTGCTTGGCTCCTCGGCTCAGCCTGAGCACAGCAGATAGATAGGCTCTTCTCTCGGCTTTGCCAGTGAGCAAATGTTACAAGATTTCCTGCTACGCTCCTCAGATTTAGCGCATTGCACTTGTTTCAGCAACCCTGCCACTGTCTGCCATCAGAGGAGCTTTTCGCCCTGGTTAATTGGCTCATCATTAGCATATGGTTCTTCCGTTCTTTATTATTTTAGTAACATAGCTGCAGGCGGGTGTAGGCAGCCAAGAGCAGTCAGCCTTAATACTCTGTTCTCACTTTTCTGATTGGGGTAGCTTTTCCCCCCCCATGTCATCAGTAGGGTGTAGGTGGGGAAGGAAGGGGTGTCAGCAGCAGGGGGCTGCTGTCACTCCAAAAGACAGCATTGCCACACTAATGCAGGATTTCACCAAGGAACGCTCTCTCCTCATTGTGTCGCCCCATAAAATTGGAGATCTTTGCTAGTTTAGGTGTTGGAGTGTTTGTGCCAAGAGCAAGATAGCGCTAAGAAAAGAAAAATACTGTAGAAAACCAATTTTTACAACTGGGATGAGTATTGATTTCTGGAACCTCTTCCTGAGAACCACAGGGGAAGATGATGACAGTTTATATAAAGTGCAATATTTGGGAAATACATTATTAATGATGGCCAGGGAATAGCTTGAAAACCTCGATTTTCTTTTATTTTCCCTTTTTTTTCCCCATGTTCATGACCATTGCTTTCTCCCTACTTCACCTTTATAAAAATGCTTTTTTGTCAGTGATGGGGATCTTTCACTGATGCTACCACTGCTTATATGTCAGTGAAGAAATGCCTAACATTAGTCACCAGTCACTGCTGTAGACTCTAAGATGTCACTGAATTTGTTCTAAATGGATGAGATTGCAACCACTCTTCTCCCCAGTGTGGATTTGTTGTGCTGTGGTTAGGCTGCTCCAGACGGAGCTGCGGTAGCCTTCTTTTGCTGCACAGATGGAAGCAGCAGTTGGCATTGAACCTGTTTGATACCAAGATTACACCTTGGTAGCTTCTGCTAGATGAGGAAGAATACAGCTGCTGACAAAGCACTTGTGTGCAAAGCCCTGCACAGCCAAAATCCCCAAAACCAGTAAAAGGCATTTATCCCAGGGCTGGAGTTCCTAAGCAGGTTGTTGCTCCGGAGGAAGCGTCCTGTCTCAGCTGCCCTGGGGGCCATGGTGAGACCTCTGAGGGAGGACATTGCACTGAGGTGGTATTTACAGCAATCCAGCCTGTGGATTCCATGAGGATTTGGAGCTTTGTTTTGGTTTGACTGGTATTTAGTCATCATCCAAACTTCGGAGTCATTCAGACTTCTGGAACACATATGAAATAAATAGTGTTTCTCATTTGGCTTGGCTGTGTTTTACCCTAAACTTTCTGAAATGCAAATATTTGTTGTTGTGTGAGACAACATACACATTTCTTTGTGGCTTCTTCCCTCCTGCGAGCAGCTTGCAGCCGATACTGCATTTTTGCACGGTGGGTATTGGCTCTACAAGCCCCATGGCCCCTGTGCTGCAGAGAGAACCAGCTGGCCAGCTCTTGCTAGCACCCACCTTGCAGCTTCGACATGTCTCTGCCAGGGTGCCAGGATCAGCGGCTCTCTTTGGTGGCTCTCTGTGAAGAACTGGGGCCTTTCTATTGCTTTACTTCCCCCATCATACAGCTTATGCAAAGAAAAAGCATGTTGAAACACTGACATGAAAGGTGTGAAGTGAAACTTCCCTTGAAGCTAGCTGTTCTTGGGTGGTCGTTGTGCAAAGCTTCAGGGCCCAGAAAAGGCTATTTAGAAACACGGTCAAACATGGTCACATTCCTGTTGGGAGGAGCAGTCACCAGGCGCATCCTCCACTCTGTCCAGCTCTGGCGCAGTAAAGGTTTTCCATTCACAGCAAAACGGTGCATAATTGCTCTTGTGAGAGGAGCTGTGTCACACGCGCAGAGGGATATTTGCGTGGGAAGTAATTAGAAATCAGCACAGATCCGAAGTGATACAGAGGTTTAAGAGACTGGCAGCCTGGTGGGCTTTT